TAATGAAAGTCTGGTTACGTCTTTACATCCCCAAAACGTCTCTCTTAACAACAAACAGAATTACTAACTAATACAAATTCTCCAAAATTGCGATCACTGTGTACAAAGAATGTCTAGTGTCTTCAACATTGGAGCTGGTAACCCACGCTTTGTCTATGGAGCTGACAGGAGCAGTTAATCCGATTACGGTCTGTAGGGACTTCTAACTTCTTGTGTTTGATAGCTCCATGATTTCAGGGACATCACAATTATCATGACTGTAATGTAATTTCATCTTCTTTACGACGAAACTGTTGTACTTCTGACAAATTCACACGATCATGTATTGCTGCTAATCTACATATATGCTTATTTATTTCTACAGTAGTGCTAGCAGATGTGATACATAGCAAGTCAAAATCTCGAAGACCCTCTTCCCCTCTCTCTCCTCCTCTTTATAACCCATCATATTCCCATCTAATTTCTAAGAAAATATCTGTGCACTTCCAGAAGGCTAGTGTGGTCAGTCCAGGCTATAGTGTGGTCAGCCCCGACCACTTCCAGTCCCTTAGATTTCATTTTTACGACCTTCTCATGAGCCCAGTTTCCGCCTTAATTGACCACAACCTTCCCCTACGTACTTGTGGTTCCTTACTCAGAATTGCTTCATGACAATGACCATTTAAAACAAGACCACTGAACTTTCCCATTTAATTTTCATATGTATTTGTCAATTAATATGTGTTGATTACATTAAATTCATTTACATTAAAAAAGTTGATTAACACAATAACTGCAAGGGAAAAACTTCGTCGTTTCTCACTATTCTTTCGGTATTTAGTGTGACATTTTTGATGACCTGTTTCATGTGACATTTCATACTGCTGGCAAAACAAATTGTTTGCATGTGTATTTTTTAACTAACCTATCAACAGAAAGGTGAATTATGATATCGGATAAATCTCCAAATGATATTCCTTTTAATTGAGAATATAGGTGCCATCATAATTTGATATAAGAGCGTAACATTTTGTTCCCCCAGTTGTAACGAAGTGAAAATCATTTTTGGCTGTTTAAAACAAAGAAAAAGCTGTTGCAAATCATTTTGAAAACCTAAAATATCAACTCTAAGTACTCCCCAGAATACCTCCTACTAACTTGTGTCTGAGATCCCAAACATTTCTTAAGATATCCTTGTCAATTCTCGTCAAGAACATTTTGGTTATTCGCAAAATTATTACATTGTAAACAAACAAGTTTGTACAACGTCCAACGTTCGCCCGAGTCGGGATCATATTGTAAGCCTGCATGGGCTGTCACGTGATCATCACATGACACAGACGTGCCAAGTTACCACCATTCCTTCATCGTCGAGAAATTTTGATTGAAGTTTTTGTTACACGTTACGCTGTGACAAAAAGTTACAGGTTTCTTCTCAAGGCATGAAGGTAAAACTTACCTGAAACTTAATGTATTTGCCGAAAAAAGCCACTTGCCACTTAAAAATTACAAATAAAAATGAGCGTTTGGAAGAAAAGAAACATGTTTCCCCTTTGAATCAGAAACGCTTGTTGTCTTCGCCATTTTTCATTTGTGGGTTTACCTTTATGCTAATGTCTGTTAACGATGTCATGACACGCCGGCCTAACGGTCCATTCACAGCGTGCTGTGTCAAGTTGGTACACGTGCGCCGGCGACTGCCTTGTGAGCGGTGGAACGTTCGGTGGGAGTGACCACATGGAAACAGTGTAATGCACATTACGCCTCTGGGGAAACAGTCACTGGCACGTGTGCCGTGCCGACTTGGCATGCTGGTGCTATTTTGTGAATGTTCTGCTGGGCCAGCATGCTGTGACGTCATCAACATACATTAGCATCCAGCTCAAATCACAAAATTGGACGTGGGGATTTTGTTGAACTTTTTAGCATAAATGCTTCGTGACATCAAACTTTCTTTGCATTCCACTTGAATAAAAATGTTAACCGGCATCTAAGTACATGTATCTCTGCAACTCTGAATTCTTTGAAATTTTCTTCATCATCCAGTAAAGACAGAAGTTTTGTTTTTAACTTTCAAGTAGGCCAGTGGGTGCGTGACAAGTTTTTATAGACCTACCTGTTCAGTCAAGACAGTCCAACCTCGTTAATAAAAGCACTTTAAATACAACATTCTCCTTTAACAAGAATTCTTTTTTATGCCCCAATCCTTAGTTTTTTTACACTTTCATTATAAAAGGTTTCATTTTTTTATTCACAAATGTTGAACCCACTGCAATATGTGCAATGTTTAGTGACATTTGTAATGCTTTATGGCATCAAAATTGCTTTGCATTAATTCCCATTCATCAGAAATATGGACAGGTTTAAAACTTCAAAACACTTAATGTTTCTGGCAAAGGTGCACAAGCTAAATGGCATGCATACAGTACCTATGAGCTGTTCCATATATTTCCTATTTTAAGCAACTTTGGGTTAAACCGAATGAAACTTTGCAAAATAATTTTAAAAATAGCCAAAAAGTGAATTTTTGGGCAAAATGTTTGTCCATTTTTATGCCGCCTGAAACCCTATCTAGAAAAAACAACTAGTGATGAGAAAATATGGCATGTACACAAAACAAAATTGGCAACAGTTGGAAAAAACCTTTACTAACCAAAAATGACATGCATGGAACCATCATATTTGGTTTCTCTGTTACACGTCGAATAATTTCCTGCACCACTGCACAAATTGAGTCTGTACACATCAAATAGTTATTCAAAGCACGAATTATTTTTTGCGTGAATCTATTATCAATTACATATCAGCAAGTTTTGAATTTGTTTAGACAATTTTGAAATTTTGACCACCATGTCACACATTTGGCCCTCTCTTTAAAATTGGCTGACCTTGAGCATTTCCTCCCCATGTACAGCCATTGCACACTTTGTTTTTTTCTCTGGAATGGAAGGTTTGATGCATTCTCAGCATTTAGTGCTGTTTTGCGCCAGTGCAGTCAAAAGTAGGTGCACATAAAGGGTGCAGTCTACTAATTCAAGTGAGAATTTCTGGCCAGCTCATTGGCATTAAAAGCGCCCCCGCAGTATCTTTTGAAATTTGAGATAGTATGACCCCAAAATGGTGAGAACGTGCAAATCTTCGCCAGGATCATTTTTCTGGGTCTTTGGGCTTTCATCAGAGAGCAGAATGGCTAAAAAGTACCGTTGAAAAATGGTGTTAAGTGCCCGAGAAAGTTAAGGGTTGCCACTTGAGAAATGGCTGCAAGCAGTCTTAGGAAATGTCACTTTTTGGGGGGAAATTTTTATTTATGGGAATAATTAAAAATGTAATCAATTAACCCATAGAAAACTGAAAAGAAATTGAAAGATCATGGACCATACAATAATTTAACATGTTTCAGAAACCTCAGGGATATTGATACGCATGTTATTGGGCCCCGACCAATGCCAATTTTACACTTTTTTAAATTGGGTTTAAATTAGTGGACTACGCCCACAGCGCGCATGCATGTGACGGCCGCGACGCAATGTCATGGATTTGAGCATGAGCAGGTGAGTAGGCCTTGGCCTACTTTGAGTTTGCGCTGGGATAATGTTTGCTGTGTCTATGCTGACAGGCTAATTAATCAGAGAGAAAAGCGACCAGAAACAAGCTAATAAAACGAAATACCCCTGCGTTCCTGCATCCTGACACCGTAGGGGCCTACTGGTCACATTGAAACACCGACCAAACTTTTCAAAGCACACAAAAAACGTGGACACGGTGAAGTCAGAGGAAAGCAGGTAACGGTACTTCAAGTCTCCAGTGATAAATGCAAACATCCATGCTAGCTTCCCCCCCCCATGTGATCCTCATGAAACAACTGCATGCCGTTTCCCAGTCTTGTTACATTTCGCATTTGTAATATCATTAAATGCGCTGAAAGAAGTTTAATGCAGCCAGAAACATAACTACCAGTAAATGAAAGTTAAACGCACAAATAGAAAATATGAAAGAAAAAAGAATTTACTTACAGAAGAGCATTTTTTGTTGCAGGGTGGTTGTGGAAGGTGCAGGGAAAAGTCTGTTTCATGTTTCACTTTATGAATTGTTGTCCAAATGACGTATCCAGGGGTCTAAAAATAGCTACCGTACATTGTTAATCCTAGGAGCTTAAGGGGTACTTCCCCCAGACACCCACTGGGGCATTGCCTCTTGACCCTACCAGGGGCCCCAACTAGGGATTCTAACCATCCTTGCTTGAGCGACCAATCCTACATGTAGCTCTAGTCTCAGCAATATAACCAGCAGGCTGGTGAGCTTGACCCTCTAATCAGCCAAGCTTTATTGACCAATCTTATCTCTAGTCCAGCAATGTGATTCAGCCAGTGAACGTGAGCTTCTAACCATCTAGGCCCGAGTGACCAATCCTGTCTCTAGTGTCGGCAACATGAACCAGCAGATGAACTTGAGCTTCAAACCATCCAGGCTTGACTGATAAATCCTAGCTTTGGTCTCATCAGTGACATGTACTAGCTGGAGAACATGATTGAGCCGCTTACCATCTTGGAGTGAGTGACCAGCGATTCAGCAATATTAACCAACAGGTGGACTTTAGCCACTAAAAACTATCCATACATGAATGACAACTCCTGTGACCCCCCCCCCTTATGCCTGAAGCTGGCAACGGGGCCGGCAACGAGGCTGGCAACATGAACCATCATTTGAGCTTCTAAGCATCCAGGCCTGAGTGACCAATCCTAACTTTTGTTTCAGCGACATGAACCAGCGTGAAAATTTTAGTCTCTTATTACCATCTGGGCTTGAGTGAACCAATCCAGTGTCTCAGTGACATTGACCAATAGGTAGCCTCTTGCCTTGGAAACCATCCAGGCTACTATACCATCCAGGCTTGAGTGACCAATCTTTGCTCTATGGACTTTTATAGAGATATCTCTTACACAGCAGGGAGTTGGTCTTCCAGTTTTTGGCTTCAAAAACAATTCAGTAAATTTGAAGCTATGAGCTAAATTCACTTTTGTTTCTGGAGTTATTTGTAAATGTGGGCAGGATTTATCACTCGAGATTTAACAAATTTGATTATTATTTTCCTTTCATCAGTGCTGTGTTTAAAGTGGTTTGCTTTCATGGAGATGCAAGCACCTGGCTGAAGTGAGCATGGGTGAGCCACAGTGGTTGATTAGTGACCAATCCTAGCTCTTGTCTCAGCAACATCAACCAGCAGGTGGACTTGAGCTTCTAACCATCCAGGCTTGAGTGATCAATCAGTAGCTCTAGGCTCACAAACATCAACCAGTAGGTGAGCTTCTTCTGTACTTACGTGTATGGTTAATATCTCCTCCTTTATTTTATTTTCTGTAGTCATCATCAATTATCACAATTTGTCTAACTTTTTGCCGTCAGCTCTTGTCATGTCTTTGATGTCTTACCCAATCCGTGTTTTTGTCTCGTAGTTGTTAGTGTTGTTGTTCTTGTTATGTATTGTCTTAAGGGCTTTTTTACAAGCCTCTGCTTATCCAACAGCCTCATGCTCTGCTCTTTTCTCTGCATTTGTACATGGACTACTTTTCTTAATCTTATAAATTCTGATGTTCTTTTTTCATTAAGTACATCGATTTTGCTAATTTCAATGTACCAACTTTTTTAATGTCTATGTATTTTCTTAAGCTTATCCATTTTGTCATTGAATTGAAGTTAAATGCACTAATAGAAAATATGAAAAAAAAATTGAATTCACTCATAGAAGAGCTTTTTTTGCTGCCGGGTGGTTGTGGAAGGTGCAGGGGAAAATGATAAAGTCGAGTTCATGTTTCATGTGCGTTCATGAAGTGTTGTTTCAAATGACGTTTCCAGGTGTCTAAAAATAGCTCAAACCCAGGAGCTTAAGGGGTTACTGCCCAGCCAGAACCCCACGGGGGCATTGCTCCTGAACCCTACCAGGGGACCTAACTTGGGATTCTAACCATCCTTGCTTGAGCGACCAATTCTAGCTCTAGTCTCAGCAACATAACCAGCAGTCTGGGGAGCTTGACCCTCTAATCACCCAGGCTTTATTGACCAATCTTATGTCTAGTCCAGCAATATGATTCAGCCGGTGAACGTTAGCTTCTAACAATTTGGCCAGAGTGATCAATCCTGTCTCTAGTGTCGGCAACATGAACCAGCAGATGAACATGAGCCTCAAACCATCCAGGCTTGACTGATAAATCCTAGCTTTGGTCTCGGTGACATGAACCAGCTGGAGACCATCCTGGAGTGAGTGACCAGCAATTCATCAATATTAACCAACAGGGGGACTTCAGCCACTAAAAACCATCCATGCATGAATTACCACTCCAAGCTCTGTAGTCCCAGCAATACTAACGAGAGGTTGAACTTGAGCATCAAACCATACAATCTTGAGTCCCTAGCTGTAGTCTCAGCAATGTGCAGACCTGTCTCCTGGGAGGAGGGGATCAGTGAGAAGCATAAGCATAAAAACTACATTTTGTTCTTGTGATATGCCCCCCCCCCAAGCTGATACTGTGGCCCCCCTTTATGCCTGAAGATGGCAACGGGGCTGGCAACATGAACCAGCATTTGAGCTTCTAAGCATCCAGGCTTGAGTGACCAATCCTAGCTTTTGTGTCAGCGACATGAACCAGCTTGAAAATTTTAGTCTCTTATTACCATCTGGGCTTGAGTGACCAATCCAGTGTCTCAGTGACATTAACCAGTAGGTAGACTCTAGCCTTGGAAACCATCCAGGCTACTATACCATCCAGGCTTGAGTGACCAATCTTAGCTCTAGTCTCAGCAACATGATCCAGTGGGTTTACTTGAGCCTCTAACCATCCAAGCTGGAGTGACCAATCCTAGGTCTGTGGACTTTCATAGAGATATCTCTTACACAGCAGGGAGTTGTTCTTCCAGTTTTGGGCTTCATAAACAAATCCAGTAAATTTGAAGCTATGAGCTAAATTGGCTTCTGTTTCTGGAGTCATTTGCAAATGTGAACAGGATTTATTACTCATCAGGCCTTTTTGATTAGAAGCTTAACCCTAACCGCCCAAGGGTTGCTGGACCTAACCTTCCCCAATCACACAAACTTCAGCACCTTGGAAAAACACTCTTACCTCACAGACTTCAACAGTACCTTCTGCTGCAACAGTACCCAATCACATAAACTCCGACAGGTCTTTACCTGTGTAATTTTGTTTGACTGGGTACAAATTTGATTATTCTTGTTTTCCTTTCAGCGCTGTGTTTAAAGTGGTTTGCTTTCGTGGAGATGCAAGCAACTGGCTGAAATGAGCATGGATCAGCCACAGTGGATGATAAGTGACCAATCCTAGCTCTAGTCTCGGCAACATCAACCAGCTGGTGAGTGTGTACCTTTAACCATTCAGGCTTGAGTGATCAATCCTAGCTCTAGGCTCACAAACATCAACCAGTAGGTGAACTTCTTCTGTACTTACGTGTATGGTTAATATTTCCTCCTTTATTTTATTATCTTCTCGTCATCATCAATTATTACAATTTGTCAAACTTTTTGCCGTCAGCTCTTGTCATGTCTTGGATGTCTTACCCAATCTGTGTTTTTGTCTCGTAGTTGTTTGTGTTGTTCTTCTTGTTGTTATGTATTGTCTTAAAGGCTGTTCTGAAAAGCCTCTGCTTATCCAACAGCCTCATGCTCTGCTCTTTTCTCTTCATTTGTATATGGTCTACTTTTCATAATCTTATGACACTATGAATTTCTGCTCGGTTCCAGTGCAGTTTCTCGGTTAAAACTGGTGTATGCCGTCTAATCACTCAATTTAAATGTGGTCAGTTTCGGTCAAACCTGGGGTAGCAAAAACACAGGGTTAAAATGGGGTTGTTTCTGGAAACTTGTAAGGAGCTCTGCTCAGTAACTCTGCTGTCAGTTTTGTGGTTTATCAGCTCAGATAGCAGGGCCGGCTATTCGGTTAAAACAGAGGTCTTCCGGGGAATCACACTCTGCGGTCAGTTTTATGGAGCGTAATCCCCAAGGCCAGATGAGTTCCTTTGTGCGTGGCATCATACCGCATCAATAGGCTGTCCCGCCCTAATCCCTAACGGTATACTAAATAACTTTTAATCACCACTGATTGATACGAGCGAGTTCTTTGCACCCACACTCAGCACTTCATGGGCCTCTCCTATATTGAATGTATTGGTTTTTCAGGATACAGACATTTTATTTAACTCTTCGCAAATCCCTGCCGAACAATCGGGCCCTTCACGAACTGGCTGATCTGCGGATGGAATGCAACATGCAAGCTTATGTATAAATGCGCCCGATCTTCTGCGTATTGTGAATATTTTTGCTACAAGCTCTCACGTCAGGCCAACCACCGAACCGCATAGTTCATTTAAACATGGCACTTTCGAACTGAACCGACCCACACTGTTAGGTTTGGATGTTCAGCTTTGATATGACATGGCATTGACAGCAAACGAAATGCATGCAATTGCAAGAAACGTTGAGAAAAAGCAGACATTGGAAAGAGGATAACAAGTTATATATACCTGCACTAGCTTGGGGCAGTACAATGCACACGTGCACAAACATGTACATGTACAGTAAATTTAAGTGGCCCCGCATCACCTGATGCCAGAGAATTCAAAATCAACTACTCTGGACACAGGTACCGTTTTTATCCATTCAATTCATTGCTTTATATGTGAAAATTCAGTGAATTTGTCGTGTAAAGTTACAATGAACATGTAGGTATGGCATTTCGGCCGCATTACAATACTAAATTCTCACTACATTTGTGCTTATGTATATTCAGAAAAACATTATGCATGCAAATCTCCAAGATGCACGCCCTTACGTTTCATACTTGGCGAATGAAGTTAGAAATAGACTTTCGAAATGAATTTGGATTGGATGCTGATCGCAGTCGGTCTGGCGCTCGATATCAACGGCAACTCCAGGAGAAAATATAGTTTTAGGGCCATTCGCGTAGAGGTACGACCCAATTTGCATGTGATGTCTCTCTCAGTCTTGCTATTGGCTGAGACAACAAAGAAAAGGATGTTCTAAGCTTGGGGACGGGAGGATTGAGAGATTTCTAACTAGGAGTTTGGCGTAGACTGTAGATCAAAAAGTACAATGTAAGGTTTCATTTGAAGGTGAGAATGAGTAATTCCTCGACTAAAAATCTACTGACGACCGGCCAACACAAGCCGGTTGAGGTGATCGGCGCTGATCGCCACCCTCCGCAATATTGGTTCATATCCGCGTCCTACCCTGTGCACCTTTTTGTCTGCCCCGGCCCCTGCACGTGCAGAAAAGGTATCGTTTTTATTTGATCAATTCATTGCTTTATTTGTCAAAAATCAGTGAATTTATCATGTACCAGGTGCGGAAATGCCTCCACGTGCCAATACATTGAAGCCAATTTCCAACTTGTGGAGCGTCAAAGAAAGATGATTGACATTTCCCCCCTAACCGCTCCTTTATCAGGTAAAAAGTGGATTTACCCAACGGGACTCTGTGGTTTGTAGCACACCATCTCTCTACTGTTAAAACACGGTTAAAATGGGCGACTGTTCGTTTGGACTGCTTATGGATCAGGAGAGGATTAAGGCTTGAATAACAAAGGATGGTGGGTTCAGTTGAAACACGGTTAAAATGAGGTGAATATTTTGGCTTGATATGTGCAGTTAAACCGGGTTAAAATCGGCTAGAATATTTTTTAACCGAGAAACGACATTTAACCCTATTTTAACCGATCTAAGTTTCATAGTGTAAATTCTAATGTTCTTTTTTTCATTAAGTACATAAATCAGGAAAAAAGTTATTTGCATCCATTTTGCTAATTTCAATGTACCAAGTTTCTTTAATTCTATGTATTTTCTTTAGCTTATCCATTTCGAAAATTTCTGTGTACCTTGTTTCCTTAATTATCAACATAATTTTTTGTTTTCAAAAAGAGTATGGGATGAATGTCTCCTTGAATTGAATTAAGCTTAAGCCTCTGATCAGCAAGGCCTGATAGGCAATCAATCGTAGTGCTGTATGCAGTCTCAGCAACATGAACCAGCAGGTGAGCTTATGCCTCTAAAACTATTCAGGCTCTATTCTCAGCGACATAAACCTGCAGCTCCTCACGTCGTCAAAACCGTCACCGTTCACCTCGACCCCTGATTGTCAGAAAGCAATAATTGCCCACTTGACTACAGCACCAGCATATGCAGACTTCAGCCAACCCTTTATCCTACATACAGATGCTAGTCTCACTGGACTCGGAGCTGCACTTTATCAGCTCCAGCAGCTCCAGCATGTCCAGGCTGGCAAGGAGCGGGCTGTGGCATACGCTAGTCGGGGCTTGTCCAAGAGTGAGAATTACCCCGCTCACAAGCTAAAATTTCTTGCTCTCAAGTGGGCAGTCACAGAGAAGTTTCACTTTTACCTACATGGAAACCAGTTCAATAACCCCTTGACATGTGCTGACAACTGCAAAGCTGGATGCCACTGGTCATCGCTGGCTACATGCAGCTGCACTTTCTGCATAATACAAGTAATTTCACATTGGATTACAGCAAGGGAATTAAGCATTTGATGCAGATGTCCTACCTTACCGTCTCCACTCTGCTCCGGCAGAAAAGGACACCATGGAGACATGAATGTTTCAGGCTGTTATTAGTTCCCAGGGTGTGAACTTGACTGGGGAGTCCCCTACCCTGCATACTCCGTTGGTCAAGGTACTTGCTTTGCAAAGCAGTGCCGTGCCCTCGGCTATTGACGATCCTCCCCTGTGGCATGGGCAGAGCTGTTCACCCAGGGTAACCATGGAGGAACTACCAGTGGAGTGACCCTCTTTTGGCAAGAGTTGTCAGATACAAAGAAAGTGGTCACCCCCCTGACAGAGAACAAAAGCGGTCTGAAGATCGTGATGTCCTCCTAATCTTGAGGGATTGGGACAGATTGATATTTTGTGATGTCCTCTTCCGTCCGCATCAGGAGCGAGATGGTGAAAAACTGTTTCAGTTTAACTCCTCCCCAAACCTCACCATGATATGTGGTTTTCAAGGCACTCCACGGCAAGGCTGGTCAGTTCAGTCGTGAACGCACCTTGGATCTTGTTCGTTCAAGGTTTTTTGGCCCCACGTGGCTGATGACATTGACAAGAGAATACGAACATGCTCTAGCTGTATTTGGGGGAAGCTCCCATTATCTGCCATACTTACTGCACCTCTGGTTAACATTAACCCTAACCCCCTAGGGTGTATGTAAAATCCTATTGAAATTGGAGGATTTGGGACTGTTAGGGTTTTAAGGCCAGTGAACTGATCTGATGGAGCTTGTCTGCATAGATCATCTTTCTCAGAAGTCATCTGGTGAGGACCAGTCAAGCATCCTTGTCATCACTGATATTTGGTACAGATATGCACAAGCCATTCCTGTTCCAAACCAGACAGCAAAGACTACAACCCGAGTCCTCTCCAACACCTTCATTGGACACCATGGTTTTCCAGGTCGTCTACATTCCGACCAGGGAAGATATTGAATCAGAGGTGATGAAGCAGCTATGGCAAGTAACCGGCATAACTAAGAGTAGAACCATGCCATATCACCCCCAAGGTCATGGCCAAGTAGAACGGTTTAATAGGGCACTCTTGGAAATGCTTGGTACATGTACACTGCCTGAGGACAAGAAAGCTGCCTGGAAGAAGTATGTGCGGTGTTCTCCGCGGGCTGTTTTAGCAGGGCGGATTGCCCTGCCAAATTTTGGGCCGCCCTGCTAAAATTTTGCCACCCTGCTAAACTTTTGCCGCCCGGCTAAAATTTGTGCCGTCCTGCTATTTTTTTGAGTAATGTATTTTCCCCCGAATGTCTGCTCTCTCAGGATTTTAATAAAAAAGAGGTTTACCGCAGTTTGTAGATCGAGTTTGAGTTTACCGACGACGCTTCTGGTGTACTGACAATGGTGATCGTTGGCTGCCTACCGTTATGCATAGTCAACCTCGTGTCCCGAAAAATCATTGCGTATGTTTTGTACATGTACACGTACATTGTATTGTGAAGCGTGTACATGTACACACGCAGTGCATGTGACTGGTACCCGTGGCGCAACATTGCTTTGTGGAGTGCGCGCGGGCGCCAGAGGAAGGACCGTGCCATGCCTGAGCAGCCCCACGCTCTGCTCCGATGGAAGGGTTGCTTCATTTTTATGACGTGAGCTGGAAGTTGTAAACTTATCTTTGCCTGAACATATTTCTTTTGTCCTTTTTTTATTCAAGGGCGCATTTTGAGGCTTGGTTTTACTCTACCTTTTCACAGTCAACTGATCATTGAGAAAACTGCATGCTCTGCTCATCTCAAGCATGTCTCGAGTCACTAACATGAGGTTCTGCTGAAAATGCTCCAGAAATTTAAATAATTTCGTCATCAAATCTTTCGATGAAGAAATTCATCCTGAAGAATATCCTTGCCAATATTTCATGTTGTATATGCAATCAGATTTTGGGCCAAATTACGGACGAAAGTGGACTGGAAATTGCCTCAGAATGTACCACAGAGCATCTAGAATCCAAAAGTTGTCCCCGGACCCCACTTCTTACGGGCTTTGGCTTCGCGCTCGCTATTTTGTCTACCGCCCTGCCAAAATTTTCTGCTGTGGAGAACACTGAAGAGGCATCTCTGGTTCATGCCTACAATTCAATAAGGAATGACACCACATGGATTTCCCCCTTATTTCCTCATGTATGGGAGGCACCCAGACTTTCTGTTGACATTGCCCTTGGCCTAGAACCTAGACAACCATCCTCACAGTGTGTATGCAGACCAACTTTGAGAACACCTGTCAGCTGCTTACAAGGTGGCATCTGCTCATGCAGGCAAGTATGCAATGAAAAACAAGGTTCAATACGATCTGAATCTGAGAGCTGCAGTGCTGCATGCAGGTGACCGAGTCATGGAGAAAGTGGTTGCACCAACAGGCATCTACAAAATATCTGATAGATGGGAAGAGAATGCATACAGGGTAGTAAAACGGGTTAATCCAGAAACCTCAGTGTAAGTGGTGGCGCAAGGTGAGGGTTTGACTCAAGTACAACGTCAAAATTTGCTCTTGCCTTTGAATTCTTTGCCTCTGTAAATTCCCGTAAGTCATTCAAACAGCCCCCCCCCATCAGGGGAGAAGTCTGACCCACATCGATCTTCCTCTGTAGACTCAGACAATGGAGTGGTACGAGCAAGATACATATTGGAGAGTTACACTGCAGAGAATGCTCCGCTTCGGAACACTGAAACAAAGACCGCTCATCTATGAGAATTTTCTAATGTGCAAAATTGTATCACAGTCAGGAAACATGCCAGATTGGAAAGCCAAAGTAGACGTTCTTTGTTCCATTTTGGATGATAAGTCATGCAAACAAACGAACCAAAGAAATGTGTTTGATAGCAATAATTGGCATTATCTGCGGAGGGTAAATTGATGTCTTGTGTGTTAACAAAGATCAGACAAAGGTGATATTAGTGAATGGATGTGTTGGAAGTGGGTCACAAAACCTGTAGGTTATTTTGAGAGATAAAACAGTGATTTCTATTTTCCTGTGTCGGAAGTTGGGACGACATTCAGAAAGGAGGCAAGAATGTAATAAGACAAATTTGTGCCCCCCCATTTTTTTTTTTAGTCCTAACTCCCCCAGAATTAGGCCATACAATTTCTTAGAAATGTGTGGGTTGCTTGGCAAAGCACAGGGCAAGCAGGTTGGTAGCAGAACCTACAACCAACAGCAAGGGGAGGAGCGGATAACTTCAGTGGCCAGTGACCTTCCACTTCACTTGGCTACTGGACTGAACAGAGATGGTTCTGTTGTCTCTCTGTGATTTCTCCTTCCATCGAACCTGCCATACTTACAAATTCATCCCTGTCCTGCTCTAGGCAAAGACATTACCAGAGTAAGCCTATTGAGCTGCACATGCATATACATGTTCTGCTGGACAGTGTGTGGCTTGGACCAGAGCCACATGAACACCATTCCCACACCTAGTCAAGGGGACGGAGAGACTGTGCATTTGGACCCTGAACATCATCTGCATTAATAGCCCAACACGTCTTTGTCATCCCTTCAAGCCCTTTTTACTGCAAGTCCTTCTACTGCAAGCTCTACAGCTACATGTACTTGCCAAGTCAAGACAAGCCAAGTCCAGTCATCCCCAATTCAAAGCGCAGATTATCTACAAGCTAGACCCTTTATTTGTTTTCATTGTTAATTTCATTGTTAAATGGAATCCCTGAGTTTTTCTTATTATTAAATATGTATTCTCTAAAGTGAGGATATTTGTATTTGTCGTACAGCGTACTTTTCACCATGTTCGCTATCTTAGCCGGAAACGAATTAATTCTCACTGGTTGGCTTATAATGTGTGGCTCCAACCCACGACCCTGGGATTCGCCCCTTCGCGCCGTAAAAATTGAGATCCTCAGCCCACTTTTCAGCTATTATTCTTGGCCCACGCTCGAGCGAACACAGTGAAAGAAGGCAGACCCTGGCTCTTGTATATATGGTAATTGGTCTTTGTGCGTAGTCCAGAAATGAAAAGACCGATTTTGCATCATAATCACCAGCTTCACAATAGTCCCCACTTTGAAAAGAGGCAACGGGAATGTGGAATGGTGAGTAGAGCCGCATACCACCAAACAATCAGCCTTTTCACTGTGTAATTCAAAGCGTGCAGAGCACGCAGGGCCACAAACCAAGAATTTGCGGTTTGGCAGGTGGCCTTTGTGGCCAAGCGAGGCTGGAATTTTTGTAAGTCGGCTTTCGGGAAAAAATTCCCGTCGTCAAGGGGTTATAAGAGTCCCATGCTCTAGTGAGCTTAAGCCTCTGACCATCAAGGTCTGAGCAACCAATCCTAGCTGTGGTCCCGGCAACATGAACCAGCAGGTGAGCTTAAGCCGCTAAAACTATTTAGGCACGAGTGACCAATCTTAGCTCTACTCTAAGCAAAATGAACCAGTTGGGTGATCCTGAGCCCTCCAATCGTACTGGCTTGATCAACTAATCCTAGTTTAATAGTCTCAGCGACGTTAACCAGCAGTGGGACTTCAGCCTCTAAGCCATACGTGCTTGAGTGACTAGCTCTAGTCTCAGCAACATGAACCAACAGGTCGGCTTGAGTCACTAAAACCATCCAGGCATGAGAGTGATCAATCTCAGCTCTATAGTCTCAACAACATGAGTCAGCCAGTCAACTTGAGTTTCTTACCATCTGTGTTTGAATGACCAATCCTACCGGTAGCTTTAGTCTCAGCAACATGAACCAGCAGGAGAACATCAACAGTCTGAGCTAGTGACCAATTCTAGCTCTATAGTCTTAGCGGCCTGAACCAGCAGGTGAATTTAAGACTGTAGTTTTGAATGACCACTCCTAGTTCTTAGCTTTTCAGAGAGAGATAATTTTCACAGCAGGAAGTTGTTTTTTTTTCCGAGTTTTGACTTCAAGAACATCTCCTGTAAAGTTGGAGCTATATGAGCTAAAATGTTTTGTGTTTCTGGAGCCATTTGCAAACGTCAATGGCCATGGCTTGAAATTTGTCACGGATTTAACAAATATTCTTGTAATTTGTTTCAGTGTTGGGTTTACTTTGGTCGACCTTCATGGAGATGCCATTGACTGGCTAAAGGTGAGCCATGAGGGATTCTTTTAAAAAACCATCAGAAATTTTATGTACATTCTTCATGTATGTTTGATGTTGTGAATAGTGTAAATAGCTTTATCATTGATTCGATACCTTGTGCATTGTGGTCCTTTGAGGCAAGAAAATTGAACCTTATCTAGAGAAGGGTGCCAAAGAACAAACCCAATGAAGTTTCAGCTCAGTGGATACTGTACATATCTTGCCCAGAAAAAAAATTCTTGGATTTGGATTTCACATCAAAAGTTTGTGGCTCATGATTGAATTGTACTCGAATTTGAGCATCTGAGACACGTTCTCACAGTCACTCGAATGCAGGTATGCAATATCACACACCGAACAAAATAAGGTACATGTAACTGATGATTGCTTGTGTCGGGTCAATGGTTGTGGATGTCCAATGGCAATTTTGATGGAAACTGCCTTCTTTCATTGTTTCCTTCAAAATGACAGCTTGCCAGAAAGAAGAATTTCACGGGGGGTTTAGTTCCATAGCCACCTTTCGACAAGTAATTTTTTCAAAAATTAGTTCATCAGTTATTTTTTTTGATAACTGCAAATGATGGACTACACCTGAAAAAAATGTGTAACACTCCATTTGTAGGCAGCCAGAGGTTTGACAAGAAGATTCCTAAAAAATTAACTAAATTTGAAAACATGGTTTCCACAAATTGGCAGGGTGTTTTGATTTAAAGCATTGATTTTTAATCGTGATTCAAATGACCAAAAAACAGCATTAAAAATCATTCAAGAAAATTATGCTATATGTTTCATGAAGACTTCAGAAATCTTTTTGTTTGATATTTAAAGAACCAGGAAATAGAAGTATTTTAATAAATTTTACTAAAACCCCTCAAAATTATATCTTTGGGTTTCAATTAACCTCATTAAGAATTTTTGCTTCCAATTTCAATCCATATTTCGAAGTTTTTTATGCTAATGCATATTTGCATATTCATGAACAGAACTATGATGTCATCCAAGGCACTGAATCTCAACATTACACTGATTTGTGCACAGAAAATCTCTAGATTTTTTTAACCACTGCTATGGCAAATTTTATTTCTTTTGGCAATTTATTGCTGTGTAAGTATATGGCAATAATCCAGTAAAAATCCATTTCACAAAAACATTCCCAAATTTGTGGTTAACTATTTGAACATGAAAACATGTAACCTGAACCATGTCTTCCTGATTTACATCAAAGCAAAAGCGCCCTCACTTGGCCATGACACTTTGTCAATTTTTAATGTTTGAAAAAGTGCACCATTCAGTTCACGTAACTGAAAAAAAAGTCAAACAGTCTTCATTCATGGAAGAAGAGTACAGAGATATGGTACACAAAAAGTGATTCTAAGAAAAATTCACTTCCTTGTTCCTTTAAATGAAGAAATGGCTGAATTTTATCATTTTGATTCTTCTAAAACAAGGTAATCTGAATTCAGCTCATGGGTGTAATCATGCGCATATATAATTTTTCTCAATTATGTGCCCACTGGGCTTTATTCACAAAATGCCTGTTTTGGATTGTGTTCCCTGAATCCACTTCATTAATCAATTTACTGAGGCCAATTGAAATGAAATCTTCATTGTGCATGCATGATGTAACATATATGATTTGCATAAGAATGGACATTGATTGAAGCAACAGTATCTCCCAGGGTTCTCATAGTTGATAGGTTGTTCAGCCTTCAAAAAAGACAGTTGAAAAGTCAGCACATATGAACTTAAAAGAAACCTGAAGCTTTGCATTGAAACTTCCAAAGATGAATGGCCCAAAGCAAGGTTGGATATGGCTCTATTTTGAGAGAAAAGGAGTGGCTGTTAACTAAGACTATGAAAACCAAGAAATCAAGTCGTAAGATTAAAATGCACTTTGCTGAATGCCAGATGAGAAACTTTACATGCAGCTCCCATAGCGGTCATTTTCGTACAGTGGTCTGTGATAAGGAGTGTTTTGGATAATTCTATATGTGGTTAATTTGAGAACAAAATGCTTGGGACACTTCCAACATATGAGTTACAAGAAATGCAAAAAATCTGCTTCACATAAAAAAATCTGACTTTTACTTAAAAAGGATGATTTTTAACAACCCTGCAAATTCAATTGTTAGCCAAA